AAACAATTGCATGACTGGCAACGGCATACTCTTCTTGCTGCGTATCTTCTTTTATATGCTCCTCAACTGCTTGGATTTCTTCTGTTTGTACTACCATCAAGCAGTTATAAAAGAGAATTTAGTGAAACATTCATGGCTAAGACGTTCTTCAAGAGATTGTTTACACAAACAAGAGAAAAATATACTATACACTGAATATCATCTTCTCAAACTCGAAGCTATACAACTCGCCTCATCGACATGAAACATTGACATAAAATCTAATGATAATATCCTTGTAAAACTTCTTTACTCATAAAAATTATAATAAATTCGCTTAATGTCACACTTTCATTCGTGTCTTGTTCTATACAATCAATCAATTAAATATTTTCGACAGTAAATCTATAATAAAAATCTTTGAAACGAGTTTTAATCGACAAAAACTTTTTACATGCTGCCAAATGGTGTCGAACCTAGCTCAAAAAATCCATTTTTAATAGAGATTAATCTATTTCATATAGTTCTTTATATATATTTAGAATAAAAGATATTTGAGTTTGATTCAATAAGCGCTTTAATACTTCTTTTTTTAACTATCTTATCACTTTAATATTATCAAGGACGTTTTTAAAGTGTATTATTTATCATGCTGACTGTCATTTTCTATATCGCGTCAGCTCTTTTTTCATCTATAAAAAAAACCTAAAACGTTATCTATTTTATTCTCATATCTATGATGATATTAATATATATATATATATATAAATATTCATACTGATACTTATTTATATCATTTCATTCCTATTCGTGTTTTATAGACATGAAAATGTTGATGTCTTCTTTTGTCGCGTTTTTACTATTGATGACTATTAATTTCAATGTTTATGCTTATAAATCCTATTCACAATATCAACTATGGCGTTTACATGCAACAAATAATGAACAAATTGCTAAACTAATTGATTTTAGTCATATAGCTCATCAACATAAAGTTAACTTTTGGTCTGAAGAATTTCATATAGATCTTCCGGTAAATTTACAATTAAATCATCTAAATGATTCACTATATTTTCTTCTCTTTCGAATTCAAACTAGATTGATGTTACTGTAGCACCTGAATCAATTGAAAGTTTTGCTAAATATTTATCATCAGATGAATTAAAAATAAAATATGATATTATTATGAAAGATATTGGTTCTATTATTGAAGGACAAAACTTAATTCATAAAGTACAACCATCATCTTTTTATGCTGATGATTTTGCATATGATAAATATCATCCAATTGAAGAAATTCATGCATGGATCGATAAAATGGTTGAAACATATCCATCACTCGCAACATCATTTACAGTTGGACAATCATATGAAAAACGTGAAATGAAAGGTTTAAAAATATCATCAACTAAAGCAGCTGTTAAACTTGATGGTACACCAGTAAATGCAAAAAAAGCTGTTTGGTGGGATGGAGGTAAATTATGATTACTTTATATTAAGACTATTTCTTAAAAACTACTTTTCAGGTATTCATGCTCGTGAATGGATTAGTCCAGCAACGAATATTTATATTGCTCATGCACTTTTATCAAACTATAGTGTAGATCCAACAATTACTCATATTGTTGATCAATTTGATTATTATATTTTACCAGTATTTAATGTTGATGGTTATGCTTATACATGGACAAAAGGTAAAGCATTGATAAATAGAATATTTTAAAAGTAAAATTTCCTATTTAGATCGCTTATGGCGTAAAACTCGAAGTCCAACATCAAAACCGAATTGTTTCGGTGCTGATCCAAATCGTAATTGGGATTATCAATGGTGTGAAGGTAAATATATCTTTTTAATTTTATCTACTTTATTATATTTACAATATTTCTAGGTGGTGCTTCACGAGATCCATGCGATGATACCTATTGTGGTAGTAAAGCATTTTCAGAAATTGAAACAGTACAAGTATCAAAATTTATTGGTGATCATCGTGATACAATTGTACATTATATTAATTTTCATTCATATTCACAACTTTGGATGACACCATGGGGTATATATTTAACATTATAAATCTTATTTATTATTTGTCTTGATAGGTTATACAACAAAAAAACCAGCACAATTTAAATTACAAGATGATGGATCGGTTCAAGCTGTTAACGCACTTGCTGCTGTTTTTGGTAAGCATAATAAAAAAACACTTTTCATAGAAAATAATATCTATTTAAGGTACTAAATATATTCATGGTAATATTGGAGCAACTATTTATGTTGCATCTGGTAATACAGTTGATTGGACATCTGGCACAGCCAATATAACATTTAGTTATGCTGTAGAACTTCGAGATACTGGTAAGTACAATATTTTTGTTTTTTGAAAAAAAAAAACATTTTATTCATGTGTTTCTTATTAGGTGAATATGGATTTTTATTACCAGAAAATCAAATTATTCCAACCGGTAAAGAAACATTAGCTGGTGAATTAGCTTTATTGAAATATATCGAAGGACATGTTTATGCATAATCAAAAAAAGAGACAATTTATCGAAACTTAAAAATGAATTTTATTTAGTTTTATTCTTTTCTATATTTATCAGTGAATAGTGGTATTTTTTTTCTGAATGATTATCATTGAAAATATCAATATCTTATTTAGAAAACGAGTATATTTAGTCGACACTATAGAATTCCATCGTATGTGATAACATCACAAAAGTAAAATTTCCTTTTATATGGAAGACAAAAGATACAAAAACACACACATAGTAGCAATATCAACGAACGAACTTTTAATGTGATCGAGATTTCAAAAATTTATCTGAAGATACATGCTAAGATCAGTATTTAAAGCCATACGGTGAGATTCGGAAATAAAGATGGAGTATGTCGACTTTACGCGACACTAATAAAGGCCAGTTCTTCTTTCCTGATTCGTATTAGCTGTTCGAAGAAAACGATACATGCTATTCATATCAAAAACTAATGCACAATTTATAAACCACTTCAGTTTTTTATTGTATCCATAATTGTATCCAAGTTGCGATATTGAATCTTTCTTTTTATGATTGTAGTATATCTACTTATTAGATCTCTATAAAGACTACATCGAAAACATTATGAACTATTGTTTTCATGTTATATTGACTTTTATGTTAATACAATAAATTAATTTAAACAAAGAATTGAACGAGACTAATAAATTTTTCAAAAACCAATAGTACCATTCAATTGCGCGCTGTCAAAAATGTTGATCATTGATCTTCTAAAATCCACAGATTAACCCATTTTAGTTTTTTTTCATATCACCCTCCCTTTAGTCGAGCGAAAGTAATGCTAACTCAAGAAAATTAGTCACTAAACAAGAGTTGAAAGTTTTGTTTTTAAATTTTATATAATGCACGTTTTCAGTACAGTATCAATAGCAAAATGAATGTCAACATTTAATCTTCTCAGTAAAAGAAGGCAATTCTTTATAAAAGCAACTATTCTCTTTTTTTGTGATTATACAGTAAAATTTGTTCGACGCCCATTTATTATTATAACATTTAACTATCTCATTAAAAATCATATTTTTTTAACTTTAAATAGAATCTCTTAAACTATCATATTTGATAGAAAAATAAACGTTAAAAAGTCAACGTGTTATTATATAACAAAAAGAAAAAAGAAATCGGAGCAACATACTTTTATAGGTTGTTATTTTAGAGCTTCTTAACAATCGTCTTTTTTCAAAAAGAAAATGCTTAAACATGTATGATGTTATATCAAATTCAAGATTAGCACATTTCAAGAATGTTTTTTGACAGGGATCATTTTGTTAACAAGGATAAACATGATTGTGAAAACAATCATACTAAAGCTTCTCAATGACATCCTATATATATATAATACGCACTGTGATTTTTTTTCTGTTATTGTCTACTTAGTCTAATCTTTATTGTATAAGACATTAAATAACGGAAATGACTGACGTAGAAAAACGATACTTTGGTAAACCTTGGTATGTATATACTTAAATTGAACAATAAAATTTTGATTCAATTTTTTCTCTATTATTCTTAGGATGATACATAACGATACAAAACTAATCAAACAACGTATTTATCATGCTCATCTCTCTCATCTAAAACCAATTGGTGATGATGATTTACGAGCTAAAAATCCATTACCTCATCAATGTAGACGACATAACTCTAGTATTCTACCTCCAATATCACGCAGTACTTCATCCGGATCATCTTTAGCTATGGCTCCTCTCATACCACCACCAATAACTCATGTAGAACCAATACCACCAATAAACACAAATAATACTACATTACATGAAGAAGCTCAACGTTTTATTCCTCGTAATAATATATCACAAGTTTCTCAAGAACCATCTTCTGTTCAAGTAAGTCATAGTGCTCATCCAAAACGAACTAAACTTTACAAGCATGTTCAAGCAAAAATTAATACTGGTTTAGCACGTACAAATAGTATGCATCCAATCGAACCTGCTACATATCAATTAGAACCACTTCGTCCAGTGAATTGGCTTGGATTAAAAAATGAAATTGAACATGATTTACATATACGCACACATACTAAACGAATGCAATTTAATTCTAGTATTCTATATGCAACACAATTAACAACATTAGGAAATCTTGTACGTTCAAAAGTTAAATCTCATTTATCATCAACAACAGGTAGTGGAGATGAACGATATAAAATTGTTGTTCATCTTACTATTTTTCCAACTATAGCAGCTGGATTACATGTTGCATCACGATGTTTATGGAATACAGATACGGATAATTCAATAACAATTAAAATGCAAGGTGTTGACTGTGATATTCTTATTGTTGTTTTTCTTTGTTATACGGAACTTTAAATGATATAAATTTGAATTTACTACTTTTTTTTATTCTGTATAAATTCTAATTTTATCAATAAATTCTTATAGAAACATACTCAACATAATATTAGATTGATTTATGTAAGCTTGAATAGAAATATTATGATCACAATAATAGACTTTTGTTTATTATTTAAATATAATTTATAACATGTGACAGATTCATGAAGAAAATCATATAAGACAATAGGATTTTAGTATTTCTTTCTGGCGACATTTAAGTCTTATAACAGATGTGTTCTTTTAATATAAACTATCACTTAATATACACATCAACAGCTGAAGTCTCTCCTTGTAAATCCAAGGTTCGAAATCAGGTATGGCAACTAAAAAGGTCAAGCTTTATTACAATGCCTCTTGGATATAAAATGATAAAGCTAATAATTGTTCAACAAAAAAAGTTTATTTATTTGAGAAAAATAAACAAGTAACAAATCATATACGAGTTAGTGCTTCAATACCAAGTAATTCCAAACCTTCTTTCAACGATAGACGACACATATGATAGAGTAACAAACGAGCCTGTAAACATCCCATTATATAAATAGGAAAATAATAGTATTATACTTACTTTTGCTAATTCAAGTTCTTCGTCTTTGACATAAAGTGTAGCTAGTGCTCGGTTTATACATTTCCTATAATGAGAAACATATTATGAAAAATGGCATTCCATTTTCTATTTTTACTTCTACACATATATCTACTACATTTTATTTTTTGGTTTATTTTTTTAAACTAGATCTATTCATCCGACCAATTCAAAAACATCGAATAATATCTATTTTATGATATATGTATATATATCAAAGCAAAAAAAAGAAGACAAACGATCTCAATTCCTATTGCTGAGTGTCATCAGACGTCTAATAATTAATATTCGTTGTTTTTCATATAGTTAATGATATCTTGAAAGAAACGAATAAGGAAAAAGCAAAAAAGATCTTTGACGACAAACAAACACGACAACGTGCGTTATAGAAGCAAAAAATGGGATCATAACAGTAATAATAATGATAATAATAACAATAACAACAACACCTATCGACCATAGCAAACCTATACAATAGGTTTGGAAATAGATAGAAACATAGCACACTATTTCCAGATGAAGAAAATGTCATCCAGCATGTCAATCAATCGATCTTATGCGAAATAAGGAAAAAAAGAAGGCGACCTTGCTCTACTATATAGAAAATACCTAAGCTGTTCTTCTTTTCTTTTTTTTTTTCTTCTCCAAAAGCCACGACCTCCGTAATCATTATCATAAGAACATCGTCGCCTTTTATTCTCTCTGTTATTTGGTCGCCCATTACACTCTATTGCTTGCTCATATTATTGTTTTTCTGTATAGGATAAGGAATGGCATCATCAGACTCTACTGATACTGTTGTTGCCGCTTCATCAAATGATTCAAATAGTGGTCGAATTGATGTCGTCTCACTTATTGTTCTTGTATCTTATCCAAAACATTATCGTATATTTGGTGACAAAGAACTTGTACGTGAAGTTCTTCCAAATGCATCTGAATCTGCATTTGTCTGGTTTGGAAATTATTCAGCAGAAAAAGACGAACGTGCAAATGCTTATACAGATGTCATCGGCAAAATGATTCGCTTAGGTTATCAAATATCAGCAGCAACTGGAGGTGGTGGTAACCCAGCTATTGGTGATAATATGTCGACACATACATCACATTATATTTTAATTCGAAAACGACAATAAATAACCAATATTTTATTTTATGAATTTTATTATTAGAAATCATCTTTAGAATGAACATAGATTGTGTTCTACATTTTACTTATTAACCGTTTGTGTTATGTTCTTTTTCTTTTCATTCATAATTAAAAAGAAATTTGCGATTATCTAAATCTTATGTTGTTTGTTAGGAGAAAATATGAAATATATACTTACACAAGACGAATAAGATAATGAACGACTTTGGTTGGTTCGTATGAACGATAAGCATCGAATAAAACATCTTGAAAACTAAAAAGAAATGATTCAATTAGAAAATATAAGATTTTGTATTCATAGATTAAAAAAATAAGAAAACTATTTGAAATATTCTTGTCAATGTTGATCAACAAATGAGATAAAATATATTGTCTAATTTACTATATGATAGTATAATATTAAATGGAAAAATATTTACCATCATTCATATCATATAATCGAATTTAAGAGATAAACAATGAGCCATAATTACTATTATGATGGATTATTAATTAGAAAAACATCATATTCTTATGTCGAAAAGTTAAAATTCAATCAAAGATTTAAACTAACATTACATTACTTATTAACAACAATTGAAGAATATTGATATCGTTGATTTTTATATTCAATTAGACGCGATATCCGTAATTTAGCTTTGTTTTCGACAAATACTAATGTCCTCTTAGTGATGTAAACTAAATCCTCTAGAAAATAAAAGGCCATGACCTTATAGTGTCTACGCATATCATACACATGGAATTGGTTTCAATTAAGATTAACTTTTAATCAATAATTCGTTAAGAACTTTAAAATGTTGTAATCAACAAGTTTCCCTTAAAACACACCTGTTTTCTTTGTACGAAAATATACTGTAAATATGTGGAATAACCTTAACGTAAATAGTTTCTATACATCTTCTCTGTTTGATTTTCATTGGTCCAGAATCAACAGTAGTTATTCGCATTCTTCTCTAATATTGAGAAAGTCGCATCTTTGGTAAATACCAAAAATAACACAGTTACAGAACTAAGTTCGTGTACAATATAAGATAATCTTTTTTATACATCAGTTTCCTGAATGCAGATGTTACTACACAATGTTTAAATTATTACTATTCTCATAGATTATTCATCTTATGATAGTTAATTAGCTGTAAGTTAAAAAAAAGATTCAAAACATAGATCAAGAAAGTATATGAAATCTTACTATCTGAAGAATGAAGCAACATATTTACTAATATCTTAAAAACTATATATAAGCTTGAGTCGTAATCTGGTTTGAGATATTATTAGAAACCAGATTAAGTATATTTTTC